TAGGTTTAAGATAACGACTCCGTTAACATCTGTTAGCCTTCAATTACTGAACAAATATATGGTTATTGATATTACTGGCTTTTTGTGAAAAAAAGGTGGCCACCAAAAACCAGTTCCCTCTTCATTTTTGTAGTGTGCGATTGCTTAGCTATATGGATATTATTATACTTAATATTTTTAAAAAAATGTATCTTGATAAATACCAGTAGCTAATTCAAGACAAATATATATAAGTTCGCTACGAATTAGCTACGAAACTTAATTATTACATTTGATATTTTAAAAACTAAAACAAATCTTGATAAAATCCTTATTTAACCTGAGGTAAATTTATATAATTTTGCTACAAATTTGGTCCATGTACTTTGTTGAAAATAGTTTTTTTATCATCCGTACAGTTTGAAGGTTATATGATCACTATCGTGGTTTGCAAAAACGTCCAGATTTGGTTCCTCCCTCTAATTAATGGCCATAAAAAAAGAGGCATTTTATTCTTCTACTGATATTTTGTCTTTTATCCAATCAATAAACCAAATGGATCAAAATAATAAAATCGATCTTGATCGGATAAATATATAAGTTCATGAACAAGATGGATATAGCCTATTTGGATCTCAATGATGTGTGATTAATCTTGGTACTATTAGAGATTAGGGAGAATGATTTTCTTGATTGATTAAAAAAACTACAATTATTTAAATATAAAACAGATGGGCCACATGCCAAACGCTATACGGGCTAATAAACTAAGCATAATAACAAAACATTATTAAAGATATAATGTGATCTGCTAACAGGTACATGGCAAATATATAAATCCATGAACGACAGTTGTTATCCAGCAATTGATATCTTAATGAAATGAAGCTATATAGCTTAACCTTATCTCGCCCAACTCATGTCTAATTCTAATGGAATTATATGTTACTAGAAAAGTATTCGCGTAAAGCATCGAGATAAATCTTCATTTTAATGTTTAATTTTATTATTTGTCTCTATCGATATAAATACGACTTTATGTGGTTTTGAGAAACCAAAAATGTTTTTATTTTTTAATGAAATATAAATTTGAAAATAACATAAAAAATTTAAAAAAATAAAATTGATATTAGTATTAAATTAACTATTTAATAGTTCTCCTTTTTTTGGTGTAACTTTTTTAATCCAATTTTTTATTGTAATTTAATTTAGTTCTAATAACAAAGTAATTTATTTTTTGTTTAATAATATAATTTTTATTAAAGATAATAATTAAACATTCGGTTAGAAACTCAATAATTATCTTAATTATATTTTAGATTTTTTATATTTGAAATAGATGTTTATTCTGTATTAATTATGTTTATTTACAGTTAGTTACACAAATTTAAAAATGAAGTTTTAACAAGTTGTACTTACGCAAAATCACTTGTAATCTTGAATTTTAAGTAATATGCGTCAATAAACAGTAATTTATGCATAAAAAATGGTTTTTAATAGTTTTTGTCAAATGTTTTATAATATAGTATAGATTACTTACTTTAAGTAGATTAATTTTATAAACAGAAACATGAAAGCTTTACTTTCTTACTCGAGGATTCTTGATGGCTGAAATTTTATGTCAAAAGGGAACTGAACTGTGACAGTTTTCAATCCCAGTGGATTGAACAACTAATAATGAATGTCAATTTCTTATTGATTCCTTATCTTCGGTGTCACTAATTTGTCGTAACGATCTATCGTAGACTTGTTCAAGTGTGTGTAAGCAAACACCAACGTAGATCTGTTCATATCTATTCGTTTAACTTAATCAGAAAACGAACGAATTTGAACGGTTCATTTATATATATGTGTGTGTGTATGTATATATATAAACGAACATAAACAAATATGGATGAACATGATTGAACAAAAACAAAAAACAACATGTTCATGTTCGTTCATTTATTAAATAAACAAACATATACGAACTTCCCCCCAAACGATTTACCGAACGTTTGGTTTATTTACAACGCTAAGCATCATAGCACACACACAACGAGACAAAATAATGGCATAAAAAATGACAAGCTAAACAAAGATGATTTATCGCGCATCTAGCTAGGAGCGTGTAACACGTTGTATAGATGATAATAATGACGATATGTAAAGGATATATTTTTATTTATGTATTTATAACAGAATTAGAGTTAATTGAAGTCAGTTATGTACTCGATTAATAGTTAGTTGTGGAACAAGGATACATCTCTAAACAGGAGTCAGTACAGATGCATTCCTAATTAACTAATTCAACATTTTGCTGCTTCTTCATTCAGCCCTTTCTCTTTCTTTTCTTTGTGACGTTTCTGCTCTGCTCAATACTTTGATTTCTTAGCTTTCTTTGCTCTTTCATTAAAACCTGGTGATTCCTAGCCCGATGAGAAGTGCTAATCATCATACATATAACACTGGATCAGTATATTAGTGTCACAATAGCTAAGTGTCGATAACTAGTAATTCTTGAAGTTAATACATAGGGGCTAGTTTATTTATGAAATTGAAGGTTTTGCCCCCAAAGAACTCATAACCTCCCAATTGGCCATGAAAATGGGAAAGTCGAAGGTCTTGAACTTTCCATTTCCATAACCCTCCAAATGAGAACAATAGGACCTATTAGATAGATCACCATAGCCCCCCGTTTGAATACTCAATATATTTATACTTTTTAAAGCATATATATATATATATATCACCATAGCCCCCCGTTTGAATATTCAATATATTTATACTTTTTAAAGCATANTCAATATATTTATACTTTTTAAAGCATATATATATATATATATCACCATAGCCCCCCGTTTGAATATTCAATATATTTATACTTTTTAAAGCATATATATATATATATATATATATATATTAATTAAGCCACTTAACTTCAGGGCCGTCCCAGGGAGGGCAGCACGGGCATATGCCCAGGACCCAAAAATATGAGGGACCTAAATATATATAATTAAGCCACTTAATTAACTTAAATAGTTAATATCTCCTTTTTGGTTGTTCATCTTTTCTTTAGATTTACATATAACTCATATATTAATGACAATCTTTTTTTTAGATTTACATATAACTCATATATTAATGACATTCTTTTCTTTAGATTTACATATAACTCATATATTAATGACAAGAATAATTAAATAATTTGTCATTTATGTAACTCCCAAATCATTAATTGGGAGTTACAAATCTAAAAATCTCAATAATTGATGATTATGTAATATTGATATTTTTTT